ACAAGCAGGACTGGCCTAAGGGGAAATTTTAGTGGGGTTTTAAAAGCAATTTTAAAAATTAATAAGGCCAAATTTAATATTTCATCTTAACTTTGTTTTAATGATAGTTTTTGGGGTATTTTTGTAGTTGTTTTTATCAGGCTGTCAGCCGCCCTGAGTCCGCAAGGAGAAGGGCGGGGTATAAATTCAAATAATAAAAATAATAAATAATAATAATAAAAAATAATTTAGGAAATAAAAATCAAATGCAGAGATACAAGATAGCAGATAACTAGGTTGATAACAGTATTTGTAAAAAAGACAGTGGAATAATAAGTGACTACAAATTTAATATGAGGCATCAGTTTCATGTGGCTGCAAGAAAAAAAGAAAAACAATTTTTAGATTGCATGAATAGAAATACAATTTCCAAAACCACAAAAAGTATTCCATTCTATTCCATCACTCCTCTCTATTTTGTTTACTACATCTAATTCTGGGCACCACACTTGAAAGATTTAGAGAAATTGGAACAGGTTTACAGAAAGACAATAATAAAGATAAAGAGCCAAGAAACAATGTTACATGAACAAAGATTGAAAGAGCTGAATGTGTTTTAGCATTAGAAAAGGCAGTTGTGAGGGTATATGATATTATATTGAATATCTGAAAGAATATCACAGAAAAGATTGAATCATTTCAGAGTGCAGGAATGAAAGTTAACTGAACCTAAGAGGCTGCCAAAAGAACTCTAGAAGACTAATTATCCAGTGGGATATTTGTCAATGAGGGCACAGGAAGAAGATAAGATGGCTGAAAATAGAAATTTCTGTCCCTCTGTAGGAAATAATAGTATTATATAGCTGTCAGTTGGGAATTTTGCAAGGGTATTTGCCTAATCACAGACCCAGAGTGTTTTACAGGAAGGTACCAGTTGTCAATTACTTTTGAAGCTTTCTTTTAAAAATAGGAATGCACAACATAAGGATAATGACCAGTAAAGACAATCCTGACAAGAAATTGAGCGGTTTTTCCCAGTAAGTGCTAAAAAGAGTCTCTACCTTCCTCTCTCGCCTAAGGTCATCCACTTGCCATTGACTTTGGGTAGCTAACATTGCTATAGCACTTAAAAAGAAACCGAAAGAAAAATCCTATACTGGATTCAGGAGCATATTCACTGGAAAGTGCATTTCCTGTGGAAAAATTATATTTGGTTCTAGAAAATTCATAGAGGCAGACAAACAAAGAGGTACTTTGAGCTGCATTCCAGAAGAAAATTAGGATATAAAAAAATAAAATATATATTCTTTGTATTTTACCTGTTGTGATAATCTTTTGCTAGAAAGTTGGTAAAGATTTATTATCTTCCCTGAGAGTAATTTTGCTGATTTGAAACCTTCTGAAAACAACATTATTTCAGCAATGAGTTCATAATCAGGTATCACCATTGACATAGGACGAAATAATGATTTTAAGTTGTCTGGAAGTTCCACGCGACCTTTGTATCTTAAAAGGAAAGTTAATGTCATCACATTCAATAACAACACTTTAATATGTTAGCTTTAGCACATATAAATAAAAATTCCTTTCAACAAAGATGCTGTACTAGTCTGAAAAAGTAGAGTTCACTACAGTTTAGAAAATAATTTTGTGATCACTATTACTTAATGCAAGATTATTACTTAATGCAAGTGAAAAGTTATCTAACTTTCTGAAATTGATAATAGTGGTAATTTAAAACAACATTTGGAAAATGGGAATATAATTCAGTGGCAGTGCATATTCCTTGCATTTAAAAGATTCCATGATCAATCCCTGAATCAACAAATTAGGCTAAGAAATATTATTTTCTGAAATCTTGAAATTGCAAAGTTATGGACAATATTAAATTAATTGTATCAAAATTACCAGTTCATACAACATAGCTTCATGCATTTGTAAAAAATACCCCCCCACACACAAAAAGGTTCTTTCTATTCTGGTGTTATTGAACAATTACTTACCCAGGATTCATGGTAATAAAAATTGCACAGTGTGGTTTCAGACGAATTTCTTTTCCTTCCAGTATAAATCTTTGTTAAATACAAAAACAGTTCTAAGATACAGTGTTATACATAACATATTGATAATATTTACATATATGGAGTTTGCATCTGCATAGACCACTATTAAGAAGATTCTAAGTTCTGGGGGAGGACTAAGAACCTGTCTACATATCTCTATATGGAGAGTAGTGCAAGGAGCTCAGTTCTAATTCCAACACTGGAGTTCAGAATAAGTACACCACTGTAGTACAAATTAGGGGTATATGTACCTGGAGAAATGGCTATTTGAAGAAGTACAATTATTGCTAAGCAATCTGCCATCATTGTGAAGCATCTTTGTGATGCTTTTCTACATTACATTGTATCTTACAATTTATATTGTTTTATTTACTATGATTTATGTTGATTGGTTATTTAGTATCCCATGACTATCACTAAGTGTTGTATCTTATGACTTATGATGAATGTATTTTTACAATAACTATGATCATGATTTATCACTTATTGCTTTTATGTACACTGAGAGTTTATGCACCAGAGACATTTACCTTTGTGTGTCCAATCATGTATAATAGAAGTCTATTCTATTCTACACATAGCAGAAATAGCAAGTTTCCTTAAGGAGACAATTAGTTGATCTAATTACAGAATATACTACAAGGACACTTTGGCAATAATCCTCCGTTTGAGCATATGCGAGAAATAGGCAGGGATAGCGACACCCGTCCTATGGCGCCATGCACAGTAGTTCAGTAGACAGTGAGTCTGGAAGGAGAAGGTTGTGGTGAAGTTGACTTGTCCACTAGATCAATTGAAAATGAACCCTGCCATAGAAAATCCCACCAAATGTGAAGTGCGTGCAGTAATACAATTCCTGTGTGCAAAAATTTCAAACCTTGTAAGATGTTATGATACGTGTCTCAATGTGAATGATGATTATGTCAAAAATTAATGTAATGTTGTAGTTTTCTAATGTGTATAATAAAAATTCTGTATCTGCAAGTGTCTGTCATTGATAACCAAATGGAAGTTTATTTCTGAATTGCCCTCATATTTTGCCAAAGGCCCAGTGCAGACATCCAAGCCACAATGTTTGATTAATGTAAAGAGATATGCCCATATATAGGCTTACAATAATGTCCAGAGGTACCCATTTGGCAAAAAGCAGTACATATACAAAGATTCCTTATGCAGAATTACCTTAAGCTCTGATGAAATAAAGGTATGTTAATTGGTAGATCAAAGTATAACAGAATCTACCACTCACCCAACTATTTTCAAAGTTGTTTGTAGATTCCCACATCTATTTTAACTCAGCTTTCAATTACAGCTAAAAACTAACTATATATTTAGGAACTATATTTTTAGAAAAACCTATTCTTCTTGCAAAACATCCGATGATGAACAATGAGCTGATTCAAAGTTGTGATCCCATTTTTTTTGCTTAAGAACCTTTTGCCTATGAACCTCCCCAAAAAGTTTTACCTACAATTTCCAATTGCGGTTATCCCATAATTTAGGGCTCCTTCCCAACATCATCTATATGCTGGGTTTATCAAAAGTCAGACCAACTACAATATGTTTTATTACTTTTTTTTATTCAAAGAAACTATTACTGTGCTTAATGTACATCAAAACACTAAGGAAGTGTTTAGATGAAAATGACAACCAATTAAACATTTAATGTAATTTATATAATAAATTATCTATAGGATCTCACTTTCGGTACACCCTGTATATTTTGCATCTTTTAAAACAGGAAGAAAGTTCCAGCCAAGATATTAAAGAGGATAGTAATAATATTCTAATTGTGCCTGTAATGTTTTTTGATTAATCATTTAAATTTCATGAAGCACAAGAAGTCATAAAGTAAGTACAGTCGCATAAGAAAAAGTCAAGGAAGTTAAAATATAAAAAATGGTTGCTGGAATTGGGATGTCTAGTTTAATGAAGAGAAGAACTAGGGGTGACATGATAGCAGTCTTCCAATATCTCAGGGGTTGCCACAAAGAAGAGGGAGTCAAGCTATTCTCCAAAGCACCTGAAGGCAGGACAAGAAGCAATGAATGGAAACTAACCAAAGAGAGAAGCAACCTAGAACTAAGGAGAAATTTCCTGACAGTTAGAACAGTTAATCAGTGGGAAAACCTGACTCCAGAAATTGTGAATGCTCCAACACTGGAGGTTTTTAAGATGAGACTGGACAATCATTTGTCTGAAATAGTATAGGGTTTCCTGCCTGAGCACCTCCAAGGTCTCTTCCAACTCTGTTGTTGTTGTTGTTGTTGTTGTTATAAAATCCCCATCTTTGTGTGAAACTCATAATTGTTCCCATTTCATAAGAACTTTCTCCATAATGTATCAATCTGCTTAAAATAACTTACCATCATAGAAACTTTAAGAATATATATCAATCTTGAAGCAACATTAGTTTTAACACTATTTATTTTTTCTCATAAATTCATGTTGATTTTTATCAATTTGTATATATCTGCATTAATTTGAGATGGACATTTAGAAATATTGGCTTTTATCAACAAAAAAAATCTCTCTGGAAACAATTATTAAAGGTTTTTTATATGTTGGGTCCCATTTTTTACAAACATCCATGTAAAGTACAAATATAAAGTACTTCAGAACACTAAGAATTATTAATAAGACAAGGAATGTCAACACACAACAAGAATTTATATTTGACACTGGTCATCTTAATATCCCAAATTCCTTCAATTGCATAATAAAATAGGCCAGTCAAATTAAGAAGGAAACAGGACATTCTAATCAACAAAGAAATTATTTCAATTAGGGTAGCCAGCTAACAAGGTCAGAATACAACCTTTTAATAAAATAAACAAAAATGAAAGTAAAATTATAATTAACTGGCACGTTTCAAAAATTTAAACTGTACAATATCAAACTTTTGATCATGAACACAAGAACCATTGCCAAATCCACTTGATTTGATTTTATACTAATCCAGTGTTTTCTGATGCTTGATGTAAGGAAAACAGCCTAGTTTTAAATACCGGAAAAAACAAAGAGATCATTGTTGATTTCAGAAAAGGCAGGCACAGCTACACTTCTCTGTGCATTAGTAATTCACTAGTGGAGATGGTTACCAGCATCAAATTCCTGGGTGTGCAGCTAACGAGTAGGCTGGCTTGGTCGCTCAACAGCGAGACACTGGTGAAGTGGGCACAGCGGCGCTTGTACTTTCTGCGTCACATGAGAAAAGCACATCTTCCTTCTCCTATCCTTATCACTTTCTACAGGGGAATGATTAAGAGCATCCTGTCATATAGCATCACAGTCTGGTTTGGAAGCATCACTGCTTCAGACAGGAAGGCGGTGCATAGAATGATGAGGATGGCCGAAAAGATCATTGGCAGCTCCCTCCCTCCTATCCAGGACATAGCATAGAAGNATTGGGTGGGCGTGGCTGTGGTGGTAATGGCAGACTGGGTGGGACTAAAAAGTTCAATCAATCAATTCCAACTGTGCAAGATCTTTTTTTTCCCTGCGAGAAGTTGAAATTGACTGATTGATTGAACCTTTTTTTTTTTTTGCACACAGTGGCAGAGGCCTAAAGCGAAAAGGTTTTATAAAACCCAGCTGAAGGCCTAGGACTGGGGCAATGGCGCGTGTGCCCACAGAGAGGGCTCTGAGTGCCGCCTCTGGCACCCGTGCCATAGGTTCGCCACCACTGGTCTATACATATGTTGTACATAATATGTTTAGGTGTGTATCATGTATACACACCTTTGAGAGTGGGCAACTAAATTTCATTTTTGATGTGTGCTGTTGTGCCCACAGTAAAAAAATGACAATAAAGGTTATCTTATCTTATCTCATCTCATCTCGTCTTATCTTTTTATAATACCTGATTGGCCAAGATCTGGTAAGTAATATAGTAATAAAGTAATGCAGTTTGAAATCTTCAAACTAAGGTACTTGTCATTTGTGCTCTTGCCTTTTTAGATCATTAGAAGATCCAGCTCTATGCAAGAATTGTAAAGATGAAATCTTTCTTCCACAACTTTGTTATATTAATGATATAACACAGAGCAAAACTTTGAACATAAAAGTATTATTATTAATAAAATATCACAGCAATTTCAAATAAATACCTGACACTGAGGCTATCTTTAGCTGCCTTAATTGCCTGAAGATGTGAAGCAATTGCAGAGAGGACTTCTATATCAATCCGATTGAATTCATCAAAACAACACCATGCTCCAGACTGAACAAGCCCAAAGAACAATGTTCCCATTATCTTAAATAAAGATAAAGCATAACAAGTGAGGAATAAGGTCTCATGAAATGTATCACCAAGCTCAAAAGTAAAACAGCTACATCTGCCTGTGTAAAATAGTTACTTTTACATGTACTTATGGAAAAGTTTTATACACAGTAAGTCCTTTTAAAAGCCTGCTTTTTGTCTAGTACTGCTCATTGCATTGTTTCTAAGGCTGCACTCAAGAGTTTGAGTAGCTTTTGGCCCGTTCCATACATCACTTTGGTTCTGCCTCAAATTGACATGACCTCTGCCAGCATCCCTTGTAGCCTTGCCTTGGTTATTTGTTCTACAATTGTCCTTATTTAATGGTTGTTGCACATTCCGTGGCTTTTGCCATATGCAAACTAGTGTCAGGCACAAATAACCTGGAGCATTCATTGAGTTCAAAGCACAGAAGAGTTTATTAATTTACCTCTATACAAGAATCTAGTTAACTAATGGTCAAAGCCAAATTGTGCTAGATAAAGGTCAAAGGAATTCATGGGGAGCTGGACTTAGGCCTTTTGTGTCAACGTAATGACTCCAAACTGATGACACATTTATCCCTCTCTTTCAGCTCAGTCTGCTCTTCTCCTACAACTAGCCTTGACTCTCCAGGCTTGTATGCTCAGGGTTTCATCTTCTCAACACCACTAAAACATCTCTCATTGCCTTTATGGGAAGATTGCCAGGGTATAGCATTATTAAATGCTATATTATTAAATAAAGTATAGCATTATTAAATAGGAATAAGCCAGAGACCATGCCAGGAAAGTGCCTATGGCACATATGAGTAATCATACTCAAATAATAAATTAAAGAATTTAAACAAGGAGTGGCTATATATCTACAGAGATTCTTAGTCATCCAGGTCATAGTCATCCCTAAGGTCCTTTTTCATGAGTGAAAAAGCACCTTTGGAAAGAGTGGCTATAGTTGTGCTTTGTTTGGAACTTTCTCCTTCCACTTAGATGATAAAGATTAGCTAATATGGTAGGGAACATTTTGAAAATCTGGAGAATGGAAGATAACCATCTCACTAGTTTGCTTTTGGAATAAAAGTATGCTGTATGATGGCCCAAGCCCACCATGGCAACCAAAATGCGACAATATCTACAACATGCTCTTAAAATTCCAAATGTGCTAATTGTCTCAAAGGTTTGCCTATCCATGTTCTATATTGTATCTTAAAATAAAATTCTTTATCATACCTTATCATCCAAATCTCCAGAACAATTGTACGTAAGACAGAATTTTCCCAAAGCCTAAAAGTAAAAACAATACAATATTGAACAGAAGCAGTTCTATTTAACTTAATTGTAATTAAATATCAAATAAGATCATATGTTTTTGGTTTAGATTTATCACTCACATGTCATTATTTTGCCCCTTTTCTAAAGGATATCTGTGTTTTCAAATTTAAAAATTCAAATTCTGAAAAAAATGAAGGCTCTTAAAAACATAGAATATATATGGTATATGGAATGCCTTAGCAAAGAAAAAGAATTTCTGTTAATTCAGAATGCCTGTTAGCTAAACAGTGTCTTTTCACCTTTGGATACATGTGAGTTTTGTAATATATTATAAATTTTTGGTACTTTGGTTCTTAAGCTTATGTAAAAATTAATAAAAATCCTTGACAATGCTAAGCTTACATATAGCTACTTCTCTAAAATAGTTACATTTAAAATGTTTGCATATTTTGAAGGTTCTAAATTCTAAAAGCAAGATTAAAAATAAATATTAGCCTAACTTTTTGCAGATCAAAGAAAGTATATTTAAATAACATGCCACGAGACAAACAACAACAACAACAACATGCATGTTTTCTCTAAATAAATTCCCTCACTCTCTTTACTATTGCTGTGAAAGATTCGTTCCATTAAGTGGATCCCAGTCACTTGAGGACTGCTTATTAAAGCAAGAGAAAGAAGCTAGAGCACATGCTAAAAGGAGAGACAGAAGAGTGTTTGATTAGGTAGGACTTATAAGGGTTTGTAAGAGTTTGAAGGGAAATTGAGTAACAAATGGCAGAACTGTATTGTCCTGAAATATGTATTTACAATTGTGTACAAAACATACCAATGTACATTTTTCAAAAAGCATATCTTGATATAAAACATAGCACTTACTTTTGACAGATCTTTAACTGTCTCTGTTTTTCCTGTACCAGCTGGGCCAGCAAGACAGCATCCTAGATTTAATTGTAGTGCTCCAGTAATGGTTAACCAACACTGATCAGTAAGAGGGGTGATAACCAATCGTGGAGAGCAGCCTAAATATTCATAACCATATTCAAAGGAAGCATAACCTTGAATAACTGTGCACAGGTTGGATTCATGCCATTTGTAACGCAATTGCCTGAATAAAATATGTTTGTGTAACAGTTAATGACTCATACAGATTATCAAATGTTATAGCTATCAGATTATACAGGTATAAAAATTCAGCGTGGTTGAAATTGAACTTTTCAGTATACAAAAATCAATCAAAAAATCCATTTGGTACAAAGTTATGTTAAAAGGTATTTGGGAACTTGTGTGGACTTTGAAGAAGCAGAATTATTGACACTTGAACTTTAATGGTGGAGAAGATTCCTGAGAATACCATGGTAGCCAAATAAACAAACAAATGGATCATCATATTGATAAATCCAGAGTTTGCACTCAAGGCACAAATGATCAGGCTTATAATTTTCTAAACTTAACGTTTTCCTTGAATATGTATGGGCAGACCTCTTAAATGAACTTTTTGAGGCAGAGTGAATTCTGTATATCTGCTTGGAACCCCTGGGTAAAATGCATAAAGTCAATTTATGAACACACATTAAGGGGAATGGAATAATATTGTATCTGAAATTAAATATCTGCTTTGCATATTACATTTACATTTTGGTTTAGTTAAAGTACTTATTCTTAAACATATCTTAGCTACCCTAACCCTAGCATTTAGAGCAAACTCTTAAACTGTACCTTGTCCATTCAAAATCTTTAATGCCAATCTCTTGATCTATCAATAAAGATAGTATATCTCTGTTATGGATGGACAAAGAAATCAAAGCTTCTAATGTGCTTTGCTTATGGTAGGGAAGAATATCTGATGCTATCTCTGTAAGTTGCTCTAGAACGTTGATCAGATCATCCAGGTCTTCCATCATCTCCTTTTTTGAATTAGAACTCAACATAGCTGCTTCACATTCTTGAGAAAACTTTATGTGACTCTAAAAGTGAAAATACTATATTAGTAATGATTATAACTTTTTAAATTATTTACTTGTATTTGTATTTATTTATAAATAATGCAATTCTTAAACAGGAGAGTATTCAAATATTCTTCAGAGTATCCCCATTAGATTAAGCCAAGTCAAGTCACATTAAAATGAATTTCCCTTATTCCCTAAACCAGACTTGAGGGAAGGGAACGAAATCAAATTTAAGTCCCAAGAATAGAAGAAAGGAACAGAAAAAAATATTCTAAATATGGTGGAACATAGGATAGGAAGAAACAACTTAAGGCAGAAGAGCTAATTGTCCCCTAAATATCTGGTTGTTTGTTAACTCCTATACTTACTCAGGGTAGGATTATACTCCTCCTGAAACAGCAAGGTCCACAATCTGGAGTTGTGGCTGGTACATAAATTGCAAGTCTCTTTAAAATGGGAGATCCTAGCAGAAATCACTCATATCTTGGTCACCTGGAATTCCAACTTGGCAATACACTTTACATGGACTGCCTAGACTACTCAGAAACTTCAATTGGTACAAATTACAGTGTCTCACATCTATGTTGGATGTATGTACTTTCTTTAAATCAACAAATGAGAATAATCTTTTTCATATTCATATATTTCTCAAAAGCCTGCTAAAGAACAAAAATCTGTTCTGCACACATTTACCAGGATAAAACCACACTGCACTTTGGAAATATCATCCTTCCAAGCACACATAACAAACTTATCTTTAGTAATTTTTGCATTCATTCTTGCTATTTCTCCCTCTGTATAGGAAAGTAATACTAGCATTCTTCCCTTAGGCACAGAGGCAGTTTTCACTTGTATGTCATACAGCCACTCCCTAAGCACTCCATATGCATATATTATTATTTCTCCAGTTACATCATCTATACTTACAGTCTTATTTTTTAAAACATTCTCACAAGCGTTATGACCCACTTTTCTTCCAATTTTTCTTGAACATTATTATGGTTTTCTCTGACTCCAAGCTCAGGACCATATTCCATCAAGTTGTCAGCCAAAGAACCACACACAATCAATCATTTAAGCATGACCAGGCAGAATAGATGAGGGTGGATTCAGATGCTGAAGGCTAGATACTGGGAAGCCTCTAGACTTTTGCTAAAGTTGTCCAGTTTTAATTTTATTTATTAATTTAAAACATTTATAGAGCCACACATCTTCCAACCAAGTAAATTTATACTCAATATAGTTAAATAGCACTATATTTTGCTTACCACAATCAATATCACCTGTCCTGGGTGGGTAAAAAACCATTCTTTAAATTCCATTTGCTTCCACTCTGTAATTCCAACTTCTATAAACCTTAAAGTATATTATATAGTCAGAAAAACATGAAATCTTTGAAAAAATATATTTTATAAGTTACTAAGTCATCTCCAGGTTACTTGAAGAAAAGTTATTAATAGTAGAATTAGATTTTTCAAGAGATAGATATATATTGCTCATAATATATAATTCTCTTACAACATTAATATGAATATTTAGCATCCTACATGCTATAGTATACTGATGACAAAGAATTGCCACCAATAGCGCAAAGTGCAGAGGTCCCTGATCTCATTAATATATTCTGGTTCCAGGGTGGGGACCTCGAAAATTATTCAGCCCTTCAATTGGGTTCTTCATCTAAATGATCATGATTGCTCCCAATAGCCAATACATATTTTAAAGAAGAGTTTACTTTGAACAAACTGCATACCAATTTAAAAAACCTGATGACTTTTTTGTAATAGAAAAAGTAGATCAGCTATATTAGTAGCTTTTCATATGATTAACATATACTTACTTTCTTACCATATTGCACATGGTACTCTCAACATTTTTAAGCCATTGTTCAACAGAACCTCTAATACGAACACCCCTATGAAACAGAATTTTAAAATTCAGCTTTTAGGAATAAAGACACATTTTAATATTTCACATTTCTATAAATTAGTAAAAATACATCATCTAATCGCCAATATCAACTATTTGAAAATAAAAATATATTTTGGGGATACAACTTTATTTTGTCCTGAAATGAAACTAATTTTTCAAGAACAAATAACAGTTTACAGACTTGTGTCCCAAGCCTGGGGTACTGTGGAACAAACTCATATTTTTTTTAGCTATGTTGAGGTTTTATATGATTATCTGGCTGCTATGTTTTTATTTGTTGTTTTATTTTAATATTTAGTATTTTTAGTGTTATATCATGTACTTGAAATGGAGGGCTACATAAATTTCATCAGGAGATTATTTTCCCCAGCTTTGTGAGGAACACTATCTGCATGGCTGGAGATTCACCTTCAAAGATGAACTGCTGGGGGGGAGAGGGGCTTGTGTGGGTTGGTTGAGGATTGGTGCTGTCTCCGGTTAACTGTGCAATTGATTTGGATTGTGAGGGGTTCCATCAGAAGACACATTGATCTACAACCAGCCTACAAACTCCTCAGAATTGAAATCAATCACACCTTTCAATGATCCTGACCTGATGTAATCTCCCCATCACAAGCCTCTTTCTGATGACTCATTACATGACCTTCACTTGACACATCCACATCTGAAGCCCTTATAAATAGAACAGCACTGACACAGACATCCCCTAAACACTACTGAAGATGTTACCTAGCCTGGTAACGAAATGTTCGGAAACCAACCCACAAGCTTGGAGAACAAACCTTCACCCTCATTCTTGCAGGCTGCATGAAGGGAGAGACAGTGCACACGTGTGTGTGCATGCACTTACCCCCCCCCTCATGCTAGCACCACTGTGAGCGTCCCGCCAGCACTAGCGCCAACTCAAGCATCCTGCTGGCATTAGCGCCGCCCCGCCTGTGTGTCCCACTGGTGCTGGTGCCACCCTGCATCAAGCGTTCTGCCAGCACTAGTGCCGCCCCAAGCATCCTGCTGGCGCTAGCACTGTCCTGCTACCAAGCATTCTGCCAACACTAGTGCTGCCCTGAGTGTCTCACCAGTGCTAGCACTGCGCTGTCCTGAGCGTCCCTCCAGAACTAGTGCCACGCCGAGCATCCCGCTGGCACTAATACCGCCCCGCACCAAGCATCCCACTGGCACTAGCACCACCCCATTTGTGGCACTCGCTCATGTGTGGCCCCGTTTGTGCATGCCCGTGGCCCATTTGTGCATGCGCATGGGCGCATGGGCAGGTAACAGTGCTTGCCTCCCTTTCCGGGCTGCCAAAAGAAAAAGGTTGGGGACCTCTGCTGTATAGTATACTCTTCTTTCATGTTATTGTAACACTGACATTTTATTAATTCTTTTTCTTGGAATCAAAAACATACCGTAAAATTGAAAAATATGCTTGCACGCCTGTGGAAATTTTTCCTAATTGCATTTTACTTATATTTGATAAAGTAATAGCATACTGTACTTTGGTACTAGAAGAATCTCTCCTTCAGCAGATCTAATCATTAAAACCACTGGTGGTGTCTGATGTTGCGGCCGTATATATATCTTCCTCACATTTGAAAAACATTTCATAAGATGAGGCTGTATAACAGATATGAGGCAAATATTATTTTTTTTGATGGATGAATTAGAAAGTAATGATAAAAATTATTTATTCACAAACTAAAATATTACAAAGACAATAAAATCTAATAGAATTTAGCATGATATTAAAAAAGGTATGATTACATTAAAATGGTTAAACTGACAAAAGCTTTATTTACAAATACAACTTTATAGATTTGATATTGAAAGTTACCTGTACAACATCAGGACTTTTACTTTCAGCTACTATTTCAAGGAGTTCTGCGTTGCTGAGAAAATAAAATCTTGGGAAAATCATACGTTTAACTTCAAGATACTCCTGACAGAAAATTAGAAAGTAGACTTTATTAAAAATAATAAAGTGAAATAAAATTATAAGTTCTATAATGAACTTGTTTTTCACTGGCTTCAGTTTTATCAGAACCACTTAAGTGCAATTTTTGGTTCAAAAAAGACTGTGCAGCTACATAATTTTTATAAATAAAGTTGGGGGACAAGATGTCATATGCTCAGTAGTGTGCTGGCAAATATTTAATAACTAGCTATCCAGGTGGTTGTTGCTGACAGTCACACCATACCACTAGTCATCAAACAGCTAGTTAGCGTTTCAGCCATTATAGTTCAACTAACTATATAACTATACTCTCAAATAGCTCCCAAAATAACATGTGTGAATTTTAACAATCAGCTCTCATGAGCTATTATGAGCCAGCTCCAGCACACCACTGCTCATACTGAAGATACATGTTTTTTACATACAGTACCAATATAAAACATGTATCTGCAATACATGACATCTTCACCCACTAACAATTCTTTGGTTAACACCATAAACAAGAACTTTTCACATGTGCGCATGTGCGTGATGGCGGACCTACTGCTTTCGGCTCCGTAGTCTCCGCGGGGTCCTCAGCGGAGATGGGGAGCCCTTGAAGGTCCGGGGGTGCTCGCCGGCCGGAGTTTGGCAGGAGGAGAGGGTCGGCGAGCGAAGAAGACGCGTCGGACCATGGGACCACCTGGGCGGGGCCAAGAGCCGAGTGGAGAGGCGGAGAGCCGAGCGGAGAGGCCTGGCGGAGAAGTCGGAGAGGCCTGGCGAGTCCGGAGAGGCCTGGCGAGTAGAGCGGGGCGGCCAGGGAAGTCGGCGGCTGGTCGGCGTCTCGGGGCCTGGCGGCCGGGAAAATCGGCGGCCGGTCGACTCGGGGCTTAGCGGCCGGGAGAATCGGCGGCCGGAGGACTTGGGGCCTGGCGGCTGGGAAAATCGCCGATCGGACGATTTGGGACCTAACGGCCAGGAAGAGCGGCGGCCGGATGCGGCGGCGGCCTGATGCGGCGATGGCCAGGGGCTTAACGCGACGGCAGCTCGGCGGCCTTGGAAAGACCTACAACACGAGGCCATGGCGGCCTAACGGCCTGGCGCGGCTGCCGGGCGGCCCGATGTGGGGGCGGTCCTGCGGCCTGTTGAAGATCCGGTGGCCCGACAAGAGTCTGGGGCCTAGTGGCGTGGCAGCCTGGCGGCCTGGGGACCGGGGTGGCCCGACGGCCTGTAAAAGGGAGGAGTGACCAGAGACGAGGCATACAGCGGCCCGGAGGTTGTGCCGGCCCAGCAGCGTGGTATACAGCGGCCCGGAGGGCGCGCCGGCACAGTAGCACAGCGGCCCGGGCGGAAGAACGGCCCGGGCGGAGGACAGGGCCCAAGGGAGGCATTGGCCGGAGGGATATGCCTGACGGTGAGTGCCCGGGAGCCCTGGGGACCTGTGTGACTGGGCTTGGCGGGCCCGGAGGCCTACGCTGTTGGCTGGCCGACTTT